TGTGTTTTTCATGAAAAGTCTTGGGTTTTTTTTTGTCCAATTTGATTTTACTTTATTGTTTTTGTATGTTTGCATGCAAAATTGAAAACCCAAAATTATTTTGTGTTTTCATACGTTGAAGCTGCGTACGTACAGAGACAGATATAGATACAAATAGAGAGAAGATTGAAAATGAAAAAAAGTGATAATCTGCAGTCTGTTGCTTAAACAGTGTGTATAATGCAACTCTCCTCCACAGAAATGAACATTTTCTGTGTTATTGTATACCTAGTCGAATAGTAATGGACTTGATCTGGGTTTTCAAAATAATTTTTTCGAGTCCCTTCTAGAGAGATGTTACAGTATATGATCACGAAGAGCATCGTTAGGTCGCTTGAAGTGTAATTCGTTAGCTTTTACATCGTACTTTTGGGTTTAAATTTTCTTTTATTGCACTTTTGATTGGAGGTTAGACCTCTTATAAGTCTTGTACTATGTATTATTGTTAATAAATACGCCAACCGTAGTCATAATTAAGAAAAACAAAATTTACATAGGGTTTTCTTGATGAATCATGCTACACAAAAAGACTCATTCTTAGTCATGTTTTTCAAGTAGTACTCGAGAGTACTATAAATCTTTGATAAGCCTGATTTGAACTTCTTTTCATAATAAGCTTGTTCTTGAACATTATCGTGACACATACTAAGCTGTCGATTACCTAAAGGTTGGAGAGTTTATGGCAGTGTTATTAAAACAAGCCTGGTCGGTCAGCCCGATAAATCGGTGACTCGGGGCGAGCAAGTTCATACTGTGTAAATGCAAATGGCCTAGTCAAAAATTGGAATTGATCGAGTCAATTAGCCAGTTTTATATAATTATCGGGCCGATTCGGCCCGTTTATTTTTTAACCAAATTTCAAAATTTTTCTCCATTGAAATTTTAGGGGATTAAAAAATTGAACACTTGACTCCTAGCTAACCAGAACATAATCTTATCACCAAAGCAAGCAACACTTTGTTGACCTTTTGTGTAATAAACTATATCTAACCTATGAACAATTTGTTGTCTTGTGAAAATGTTTTTAATAAAACAAGTCCAATATTTTCATTGATTTTGTAATATCAAATAATTATTTTATATACTTATTTTGTTTGAAATTTTTTATTTTAACTAAAATAAATTGAATAGATAATACACGTAAATTATTACTCAATAACTAATAAGTGATTTGTACATCACAAAAAGGGAAATATAATATACAAAAT